GAGAGAGAGAGAGACAGAGAATGATGGAAGGAAGGAGAGAGAAAATGAAGAGAGAATTGAGGGGAGGGCAGAAAAACAGAAGGGAAGGGAATGATTTCCATATCAAAATTTACAAATAAAATCTACAAAAATTTATTTCATTTGCTGAGTGAATAAGGTCTTTACATTGTTGTATACTTTTCCATGTATTCACTCAAATGTTTTTACCCCAGTGGATTCCTTCTGAAGAAATCTTCCATTTGTATTTGTTAAAAAACAATGAACAAACAACTTTTAAAAATTAAATACTCCCCTACAAGGTATAAAGGAATAAAATGGAAAAGACCCTGAGAGCTGCCTGGGCCACAGCCCTGCTCTCCATGAGGAACATCTACAGCGAAAGCTACAGACAGGGGCCAAGACCCCCCAAGAGAAAGTTCCTAACTCCCGTCTTGGATAGTTTAGTCTTGTACATTGTCAGCTCCAGGCAGGGCCAGCTCTACAGCCTACAGCCCAGGCACAGTCACATTTTGAGGTGAGAGAAAACTTCCCGTGTCACGTTTCTATTCTGATGAAATACACTCAACATGAATAATGACCGGCCCACTGCCGTCTTAATTTAATGCTGTTCTAAGTACTTTACATGACTGAACCTATTTAATCCTTCCAATAGCCCTATGAAGTGAGGAAACCAAGGCTGAGAGATGGCAAGTTATTTGCATAGGGTCACACTGAAAGAGGGTGATGGGAAGAGAAAGAGAAAGGAGGCTGCCTGTTGGAACTGATTGGAGGAGAAGGGCAAGAGGGACTTAAAAGTTGACTCCATCTGGATTTCTCCTTTATACTCTGTGTTCCAGGTTAATTTCATCCTCAAGCTTTCCTGAGTGGCTGTGAATGTCATAAATCCATACAGCAGACTGTCCCCATCTCCCTCCCAGTTCACCCTGGGAAAGATCCTAGATCTCTGGGACGTCCAAAAAACAAATCTCAGCAATAGGGTTGGTTTCTAATATGAACTTTGTTCTTTCCTTGTAAGAATCCCACACCCTTCCCCATATGTAGTATGTATATCTCAACTCTCCTTAAAAGACAGTGACACCTGACCCTTTCCATTCCCTCTGTGTAATGCAGAAGTAACACAGTCCATCCAAGCCCTGACCCCTAGTTCTACACTTCTAGGAACAAAATTTCTCTGATCAAAGTCACTGATTTTTTTCCCTCTACCTTGAAGCTGTCCAAGTGGAAGTGTCAGGTTCTCCTCTGGGGGTATGTAACGTAAAACAACTGTCAGCTCTCCTTTGTACTGAAGGCCAATCTCAGCAGCAAATTCCACCTGGCCATGGGGAGACAGATGAAAAGAAAAAGGGAGAATGCTTGGTTTGTAATTTTGGAGCCCATGTTTCAATGTACAGCATTTACTTGGTGGCTTAAATGTGACAATTTATTCCCATTCAACTAAGTTAGTACTTATTGGTTTAAGAGATGTCTTAGGTATGAGAAAAGAGAGGCTGGAAGATTCTATGAAGGTATTTATCTATAATTCTTAACCATTAAAATAAAAGGAATTTGCGAGGAGACATATAACACATATTGGGGTGTATCAATGGACACTGAGTGCCTGTGATGCACTGAGGGCTGGACCCATCACTGAACATACACAAATAACATGGGGTATGAGGCAGGAATACATATAGTGATATCACTGAAAATAGCCCCAGAGGATACTTCTGTCTGTCCTTGATGTCTCCAGGCTTTCCTAAGTGACAAAGAAGGGGATGGTAGGCAGTAATGTCTGATTCATACTGGGCTGCCAGCCAGCAACTATGAACAGCTGTACTGGTAATTCACATCATTAAAATTCAATGTAAAAAACTGGTTCAAACATTGCTGGTGGGACTGTAAAATGGTGTAGCCACTCTGGAAAACAATTTGGCATTTTCTTATAAGACTAAACTAACAACTACTGTACAACTTAGCAATTTATACTCGTGAGCATTTATCCCAGAGAAATGAAAGATGGTTTACACTGGAAAATCTGGACCTATATATTTGTATCATCTTTGTTTGTAATAGTACAAAACTGGAAACAACTTAGATGTCCTTCAATAGTTAACTGGTTAAATAAACTGTTAAATAGACATACCATGGAGTACTACTCAGCAATAAAAAGGGATGACTATTGATACATGCAACAACTTGGATGAATCTTTAGAGATTTATGCTGAGTGAGGAAAAAAAAAGCCAGCTCAACAGGATACCTACTATACAATTCCATTTGTAAGACATTCTTGAAATGACAAAATAATAGATATGGAGAACAGATTCATGGCTACTAGGGGTTAGGGTGGTGACAGGAGGGAGGTGGGCGTGGTTATAAAAGAACACGAGGGATCCTCGTGGCGATGGAACTGTTCTGTATCTTGGCTGTAGCAGTGAATACAAAAAGCTATGCATGTGATACAACTGAATAAAAATAAACACAAAAACACACAAATGAAAACCTGAGGGAATCTGAATAAGGTGAGTGGATTGTATCAATGTTACCACCCTGGTTGTGGCTTTGCACTACAGCTTTGCAAGATGTTATCATTGGGGAAAACGAGGTAAAGGGTATATAGGATCTCTCTGTATTATTTCTTACAACTGCAGTGGGAGCTACAATCTTCTCAAAATCAAATTTTAAAGTGAAAAATGCAGGGCAGGTTGAACACATACATGCCCAGAGCCCCTGTTCTGTAGGTCTCCCATTTGCCACTGAGCCAACAGATTTTTCATAAACAGGGTAAGAAAAGTAGTGTACTTTGTCAGATTTTTCCTGCAGGAGTTTGCTGAGCAATGGCTGAGAACTGCTCTCCCCTGAGAGAGGGCAGACTGCAGGAATTCAGAAACCCCAAGACTCCCAGCAAAGCCAGAAACTGTTCAAGCCTCAGCGAAAAAGACTGAGACCATTACAAAGAAAATGAATCATTGCCTGAACTTCTCTCCTCTCGGTGGTGGTAAAACTTATTATTAAGGGTGGGAAAATCATATGAAGTATTTTATTCAGCTCTCTTGCCAGGGGCACAAATGAGATTAGATGGTGAAACAGACTATCCAGCTAATATTTAATCTTATTATTTTTAAGGCCAGAGCCTTATAAAAGGACTCTTCTTATTGTTTTGATAGTTTCAGTAAACTTTAGTTTATGTGAAAGTCACAAATGGAAAATTATAATAGGCGTTATGGCAGATAAAAGAGGTCACTGCTTTTTTTTTTCAATGCATCCAGTTATATTGCCTCAAAATAAAAGACATAGAATTTAACAATCTGACTACCCACAGTCATAGTGGGGCATTTTAACATACCTCTCTCAATAAAGGGCAGATCAGGAGATACAGTTTGTTAATGATACAGATTTTAAAAACACAGTAAGATTTATCCATCAGATATACTGAAAATCTACTATACTCAACAATTATAGAACACACGTTGTTTTCAACCATACTTGAAGGATTCTTAAAACTTGACCATATATGAGATGTATCAGTTGAAACTGAAATCCATTATAATGGAGTGATTTTATTTTTCTCATGTTGCGTGAAGTCCAGAAATAAGCAACATAATATGTTGCTTACATGCAGCCAAACAGTACTGTTATGTCCCTATTATATAATCAGCAGTCTAGGACTATCACCCTGTTGGCCTATTCTCTAGGGAACAAAAAGAATAAGACAAAGGGCAAATGAAAGAGAAAAACCCCAGATGCTATACTCCCATTTCCATGGAGTTGTTTAGAACCCACAAGCAGTGACTTCTGCCTCTTTGTCACTGGCCGGGACAGTGGGCTTATGGGCACTCACAGCTGCAAGGAAAGCTGGGAGATGAGTCCTTAAAACCTGTCCACACTGCCAACTTGAACACAATAGTAGTTTTGTTACTTTAAAGAAGGAAGGGAGGAATGGATATTGGGATAGCGGAGGTCACTGCTTGCTTGACACTAGAGCCAATGAGAGGTGAGGTGTTTGTCCTCTCTCTTTGGACCTGAGTGGGCCCTGTGATCTCTTTGACTAGTAGAATATGGCAGAAGTGACAATGCGCCAGTTTGGGGGCCCAGGTCTTACGATTAACAGCTTCTACGTCTTCCTTTGGAATGAATATTCTTAGGGTTCTCCCTCTGGGAACAAGTGATGCAAGGTCCAAGCCACATGGAGAAGCCACCCATAGGTGCTCTAGTTGGCAGGCCTAGCTGAGTTCCCAGCTGGCAGTGTGAGACAGTCAACTGGAAAAACCAGCCCAGTCAAGCCTTCAGATGACTTTAGCCTCAGTCTCCCATCTAGCTGCAACCATATAAGAGATCCTAAATGAGAAGCACCTAGGTGAGCCCACTCACCTCACCGAATCATGAGTGAAAATAACAAATTGTTGTTTTATGCCACTAAGATTTAGGGTAGTTTTCTATACAATAATAGTCAAGCAGTGCAGGCTCTATTTGCTTTTGGCTGAGATCTTCAGGTAGGAAAATGTATGGGTAGGAAAAAGTGACACGTGCAGGTGTCACATACTAATATATGGTATATTGGTAGAGATCAAAGCATACATTACTGGGATTTATTAATGTTCCACTAGTTCCTAGCTTAAATCCAAATTTACTGGTGACTTTGTATAAATATAGTCCTAAATCTTGTTAGAGTAGAAGGTAACAAAGATGCAGTCTTGTAGCATTATTATCACATACAAAACAAATTCAAAAGAAGGAGTAATCCTGCAAGGAAATTTCAAAGCAACATTCTCTGGCATACCACCATTTCACACTATTCAACCAACTCCTGCTCAGAAAAAGGTAGCAGAATTCAATTCAATTCAAATCATTCAATTCTACCAACACATACAGAATGGCTTCCTGTAGTAATGCTTTTACGGCATTTGGCTAAGTGCCATGGGGACGGAAGACAAAAACCCTGCTTTCAATGAGTTTTCACTCCATCCAGGAGATATATACTCTGCCCTTATTTAACTGCTTCATCAGATGAATGCTCTCCATTCCCAATGAAGAGCAGGACCCCCTATACAAAGACCATGCGTGCCTGCTCCCATCAGTTGAACGGCATGCTCACCAAGTCAGCTGCATCAGTCCCCGAAGCTCTTCATGGCAAGCCTATCTGCGGCTCTAATCACAACAATCTAATATCACATAAACTGAAGAGTATCAAAGGACAGCTGCTACTACAAAAATTAAGTTGAATACCTTAGAAGAACTAAAGACTTGAAATAAATTTGCTATTGGATTACATTGGGGCTTGAAGCTACAAAGGATTGGGGAAAATATCATGAATATTTAGAAAGAGTTTGCATTTGGTTGACTTGGAAAGTACTCTTCAGTTTTTGTTGCACCTTACACAAACTCAAACTAGAAACTGTTGGTTATCATGCACTAGAGTCAGAATTTATGCTAGGAAGGTATGACAGAATTTTAATCATTGAAACCATGCTCAAACAAAATGAACTGTCCCTAAATTAGAAGACTTGAAAAATGAATGCATATTTGTTTTAAATTAAAATAAATGATTAAGAAATGCATGGGGACGGGGGTGGTGTTTGCACGTGTTTGACTTCTGTGACTTTCTCCACGGACTGACCTACTACCGGTCCTCCCTGCCAGGAGAAGAGGGCTTCTACCACACAGCAAGCTCAGTGTCAGATGACGACAGTTGCTCCAAATACAAGTATAAAAAAACTACTGTGAGAAGAGAGAGTAACCCAGATTAGGGTCCTTGTCTGATCCTTAAAGGATAGGAGAGATGATGACAGATGAAGATGAGAAGGGAAGAGTTAGTCTGGGTTAAGAAAGCAGTAAGAGCAAAACACCATGGGGATTGTGTCGAATGTGTTTAAGGGCTGGAAAGGAGTCAGGTGTGATCAGAGGTGTGTGGGTGCAGGGAAGGAGCAGCAAGGAGGGTGGAGACAAGGTGTGCACTCTGGGGTCCTCAGGAGACCTTAAGACACGAATTTATGTTACAGTGTTTTATTAGGCTGGGTAGTGGGGAAGTGAGACCAGGAAGTGAAGAGAGGCTTACCAAGGTCGTGGTATCAGGCAAAGTTCCCTGGAGAGTAACTTTTGCTCAGTCTCACAGGGAAGCCCTCAAGACTCAGATCACACCTCAGAGCTGTCCCAATCAGGGGCAAGAGACTGAGTGTTTACACACCTTCACCCATCAGTGATTCATCAAGGGCTCTGCCCTCAACCCCCAGAAGACTTAAACACCCAGGCTATTCTGGCTTTCCATGCCCACAGACCAAGCCCACACAGCCTGAGGACGCCTCTCCTACAAAGATGGGCAGGTGTGGGCTGGCAGGAGTGACGGCCATGGGGAGCCATGTGCGCATGAAAAATGGGGATACGGGTAAAGTACTGACACCCTCCTCTGCTATAGAAGGCTGGGCCATATAATGGGAGCACTGGGTGCCAGGATGAGCGTTGCGATTTCTTCAAACCATACTCAAAATCAGTAGGGAACCAGTGAAAGTATCTGACTCAGCAGGAGGGATAATCAGCTTACAGCCATCATCAGTTGCTTTTTGAAAAGACAGATCCACTTTCCATCAGAGTAGGAAGCAGAGTTCCCAGTGTATTTACAGGTCTAAGGTGGGGTTATAAATTCTAGACAAAATCTGCCCCAACTGCCACATAAAGAGAGAGCCCTGTAGCTAGGCAATAATTCCACACGAACTTACATTACATTTACTCTGCCTGAAGGCAGAATGGAGGTTTCCTTGGAAAACCACTTAAGCTTGCTGTTGACTTTCAAAGGTCCTTTTTATAACAGCACCTTCTGGGAACACATGAAAGGCAATTTATACTGACAATCTCTTCTTGTTTCCCGACCTAACATGCCTTTCAGTAAGGTAATGAGCTATAGCTGGTAAACAATTCCACGTCATGCAGTAAAATGGGAGCTAGACCATGAAACTGCTTTACGGTCAGAATGCATGGCATCTTGACTTCTCTGTCTGTTGGCACTAGCCTCCTTATGGGCTGAGCACGGTGAAATGTAGCAAAAACAAAGGGAGGTGTCGAGGGACTTCCACCAACACAGAGTCGATAAGCAAAAAGACACTACGTCTTTCCAGTATTCCCACTGCCAAAGGATGTCAGGATCTCCGAATGCTTAAGGACTATTAATTCTGATCCTGTTACTAAGGAAATTGGTCCCTGTAGCTCACACCTCACCTCCTCAGCCGGATAATCCAGGAGAAACATCAGATCTCTGGGGCTACTCATCCTATGGCTGCAGCTGATGAAGTGACTATTGCATTGAGAGAGCCGAGGCGGGAGACTGAGTACGAAGTGACAGTCCTCAGAGCCGGCTGGTAGTCAACCACACAGGGCCCAGCTCAGTGTGAGGACGAGCCATGCATGAAGCAGGAAGCAGCGTACAGAGTATGCTTTAGTACCTGTCCTCCCCAGCTTCGGAAGGCATGGTATCTAAGCAAATTCGAGTAATCTGCAGCCTTTCCTCTGTATGTGTCTGAGGAAGCTCGGCGGAGAAAGATGACATGGATGAGAGACACTAATTTATGTTGCGTTTCCCAGAAGCCAACTTTGAGGTGAGGATCCTTATGCAAGTGACTTATTAAGGAAGTCCTCCCAGGATGGGACCAGTGAAAGGGTTGGGGAAACAGGTCAGGGAAGAGGAGGAAGCCAGGCAGGGGCACAGTCTGATACAGTAGGAGAGCTCTGGGGTCTAAGTAACACCCCAGAGTCTTTCCTGCTCTCAGTAAGGGAACTGAGCTCTCAAACTCCCCTGCCTGTCAGTTAGTGGTAAAGGGTTGCCATGTGGCACAGGGTACACTAGCTCCTATGAACTTCTGGCTCTCTGCCCATCTGGAAAAATCTACAGTAGCCTGGGGACAGCCTTCTACAGAGAATCTTGGGTAGAGGCTGTTGGAGGCAAAACTCCTAATAGACAAGGTTAAAGGAATCCAAAGGGATCCGGCAGAGGACCAAAGGAGTTCCACTGATTAACCACGATCAGCTTTTCTACCCTGAGCAGGCTCAGAGACATTTCTCCCTTTTGATGGAAAGTCAAACCACTCAACATCAATGTGAAGGTGATTACCATGGAAAGTTGTGGCCCCTAAGCACAGAGGAGGCCTGGAAGAACTTTGATATCATCTCGGTGCAAATCATTCAACCATGTCCAGGAAACTGACTGGAAACCCTCTAAGCTGGTTTCCAGAGAGGCCCGACATGCTTTCATGTTAAATTTATGACAGACAAGTTAATTTCACATACTAAGATGCATGTTACTTGTCCTTCATCAGTGTCCTGCATCATATAATATGTTGGACATTTTCTAACTATGATTCTTAGATGCTCACCCATTACACAAAACGAAGCAAGTAATAGGAGACTGGTAAGTCATATTAATTGCTATCCATATACAGTGAGGTTTTTCTTTTAGTTCCAAGAGACTTAGTGCTGTAATGACCAAATATTTCCCATATTGAATATCAGAGGAATGTTATGTTACCATGAACTTATCTGTTGCTAACAGTCTACTTCCTATCTCTACCACATTTATGTTAGTCATGGACTTGTGGTTATTTTCTGGTTAAGGATTTTTATGACATTTCATTGTCAATTTTACCCATAGCCCAATTACACTTCCTAAAGATTTTCCATGACTTATTTACATCAAGTTTGAGGTCAACAGTTATAAAACCCATCAGAGTGTTGTATTTAACTTCTGAGTCTCAGTCTCCTCATAAAAAACGGGGATAACGATGTTTACCTCACAACGGTGCTTGTGACCATGAGATGTGAACGATGCTGCTACTGGTAAGCAACAATCATTGCTGTTGATGATCAACGTTTGTTTTTGCTGTCTTGTGTCCCCTCACCTTTTTTTTCAGTACTACTCTACCAGGATTTCCTTTGGGGCAATACCATCTTTAAGATCAGAGTTATGTTCTGATTGCCTTAAGCCAGCGAATGTATCTCACCTCCCTGGCCACAATGATTGGCTCAGGACGGGCAAATAATGTAATGAGAATTAGGAATCAGGCCCAAGGAATTGGTTAGACTGTTGGAGGAGGAGGGACTCTCTCCTCTGCTGGACAGTGTGATGCAGGGATGAGAGACTTGCAGCTGTTGTAGTGTCCAGGAGAAGCAGACCTGGAGCCAGTGAGACAGGCCAACACTGCATGAAGTCTGCAAATGAAGCCAACACAGAGAAGCGAGACCAAGAGCCTCCAGGGCCTTGATAAGATCTGAGAAATTTCCTTTTGTTTTTTGAGCCATATGAGCTGGGGTTTCTGTCGCTTGTAATACAAGGACTCCAACGTAACAGAAATACTACCCAGCATTTACTGAGAAGTTTACAATGTGCCTGACCCAATACCACAAGCATCACATAGCAGGCTTCTTCAAGCCTCTCAGCATCCCTGTAAGCTCTGTCCAATTATTATACCACCGATGAGAACACCAAGGCCTGGGAAGTTAAGTGATTTGCCCAAGGTCACACAGAGAGTCCTGAGGCCAGTACTGAACCTAGGAAGTCTAATTTGAGTCCACTAGCTTTACCATGTTCTTTTTGCCTCTCTCTCTATAAAGAACAATCTTTGCTTACATAAATGTGGCCTTTTTTCCACCTCACTTTAAACTTCAAAAATTACCCTGCATGTAGAGAGATTCTGGTTGCACAGAGTGAATCCCAGGTACCAGCGGTTTAGTTTAGAACATACTGTATTAGCATTTAATTTCTAGAACCAGCTTTGAGATTGTTCTCCTGAATATAACGCAAAACTTGGGTTCTGAGTCTCAAAAGTACAAATGTAGAAAACCAGATACTTTAGCCACCGACCACTTCGTCATGTGAGCCGAGGCAAGGCCACTCCTGCTCATGACTGAATTGTGGAGGATGAGGAAGAGAGAGAATGTTTTGAGACTGACTGTGCACTATGGAGCTATTTTTGCCTATGTGAAAGTCAACACTTTCTCTTCCTAATAGGAATATATACTGTATTCTTCTGTTTATCCATGGCGACCTTCAAATGATGAATACATTTTTAGTAGGTCAAATTCGTAACATATGATTATATGGCTTGCATTTTACAGACAGTCTGTATCTAAGAAGGATTTCCAAAAGAACGGATTTGCATTTATTATAGTATTCCAAAATTAGCTGCACTGATCTTCTCAGATTATCACTTGACAAGTACAAGTCTTCAGATTCTCTTGGTCTGTGACATCAGTTTCACTGATTACTCGTATAACTGTCTGACTCATCTGAAAGCATTTCCTACCTTGGGCTGAAGCACAAACCACTCATCGCTTGGATTTTCAAAGTTCCATGAGTCAAAAGGAATCTCCACCTCCCCCAGGAAGCTGTTCCGTCCAAATCGATCGTAATGCCAGACAGAGAGCTGCAGAGTTCTCGTTTCCAGCTGAGTATGGCTGATGGTGTACTGCAAATGAGAGTTACAATGTCACACTCCGTGAGGAGGGCTCTGCCAATTTTAGGACGGGTTGACATGTACTTCCACCATCTTTCAGATCATATGCATTAGTAATATGAACAAAACAAACACAAAGAAAAAACCTACTTCATTTTTCTTTGTTTCTGCTACTACTGAGTTTCGGGTCCATAAACTCATTTTGAGTGAGACTTAGCACTGAAAGATACATCAACAGACTATTTGGTGATGGCCAGGGGTGGTGAGTAGTCGATAAACTTCAGCTATTGGATAAAAAGTGTTAGGTGATAAAGTTTGTCCCCCTTTCAGTTTTACCTGCTTTTCATTTACCTAGTTATTTTTTCAACAACTACTCTGTAAGTGCAAAGGTTTAATAGAACAATTCTCTACCTTCTCTATCTTATTTTTAACAAGACCTCCCTGATCCAGAAAAGTATGGACAGGGAGAAACTTGCAAATGCCAAACTTCATAAAGTTCTGCTTAAGTGGAAGAGTGAATAGATACATACATAGATTGAGCAGAAAGAAAATATTGCTGGGGTGGTTTTTCCTTTTTCCAGCCAAACGTTACCCAGGGCCACATGCCCACACATCCTCAAACCTCCTCCTTGTCCTAAGCAAATACCACCTAGGACATGCTACAGACTCACTGATTCCTGCTCTTGTATTTGCATCTACACCTGTGCTTGCTGGTCCTGGCACGATTAACCTTGGGGCTCCTTGCTTCCTGATTTTGCCATAGTGACTCTGTTTATCTGCTGCTCTTGGGTTCATCTTTGCTGTCCTGTCATGGTCACTGGATTCACCCTCTGCCTATATTCATTTATTTTCATTTTGATCTGTCTCCATATTGGCTTCTGCTTCCACACAGGACCTAGCTGGCACATGACCTCACTCACCAACTTCTTCCTATGATGCACTCCATCATTTTATGCACAAGATCCATAAATTTCCCCACGACTGGCAGTAACATCTACATTCCCATTTCCCTGGATCTTTCTTACCAGGCTAGACTGGTCCAGGGTGAGAGAAGAGGTCATTACATGGAAGCCTATGGGGAAATGGAATTTCTCTAGAACTGGGGCCTGGGTCATATTTTATCCAGGCCACTTTCTCTGAGGTTTCACAAATCCAACCCTGCATCTCCACTGTTCATTAACCACATGCCTCAATTTATCCAAATTCTGAAACCTTAATAAGAAACAGCACACTTTCATGCTGTATTAGCAGAACAATGAGTGTGTGCAAAGTGACCTGCTAAGTTAGTGTCAAAATGTGACAAACTTCTTTTAGAGGGAATTAGGAGAAAACAGTTTTCCCATGGGTGAAACATACTTTTGGACAAGATGTACCAGGTCAGATATAATATTACTGGCTCATCTCTACTTAAGGTGTCATTTCAGCAGCAGCAGAGAAATAGAGTTAAGAGTGGCTCACATTTTTTTTCTTTTCCAAACACAGAAAGCCAAGAGTGTTACACTGATTTATTCAAATTCTACTTTTCTAAAATATATATAACCTTGACATGCAAATCCTCTATATTTACTTTTAAACCAATGAGGCTGTCAATTGTATCACTGAAGTTACTGTGAGAGTATTTATTTACCTTTAGTGTTTCATTGAATTCTGGATTGGTGCCTGTTCTGATTTTGGTCTTGCGCTTATTATTTCTGGACTTGTCAGGAAGAAGGTACGACTTGACATAACTGTAGGTGGTACAAAATGAAAGTCATTACTGGGAAATATCTACTTTGCAAGAAATGCTCAGGGACTTGAGTGAATAAAAGAGGTAAAGGGAATAGGGCTAGTGAGCATAAGAGATAGAACCAAACAAGGTAGTCTACATAAGAGGACATCTTGAAATAGAAGTCTGGAGCTTCAATAGGAGAGAAGCAGTAACATGTAGTGGTAAAGAGTGTGGACTCTGGAGTCCAGCCAGCTGCATTTGAATCACCGCATGCCTCAGTGAGCCACTCAGAACTCAAGAGCTTACTTACTAACCTCTCCGTATCTCCATTTCCTCATCTGTAAAACTGGAATAACACCTTATGGCACTGTGAGGATTAAATTTGCTGAAACATACAAGATGCTAACATAATGTACTACTTGATGAATGTAATCTATTATCATGATCAACGGTCCCACAAAATATGGGGTTATTTTCTTCTCCACTCAGATATCAGGACTTCTGACAAGTGGAGTCAATAGCAACAGGTGAATGAATAAACATGGTGACAAAGCAGAAATTAAAAATAACAACTTGAAGTCACAACAGCAATTCTACCCAATACCTTGCCTTGAGTTGCCCCCGGAGCCTCTTGGAGCAGGGCATCGTGACAGAGTCAGAAATGTACAAGATGTAAAAGACTGAAATGTCAAAGATGTTACCAGAGTCCTGGAGCCTGCCTACTGGGGCTTTAGATGATGCCCTTCCATGCTAGTCTAAATGATGATATTGGTCCTGAAACTCTCTGATATTTAGCTGAGGAGGTAGGTGGACCAATCTGTATTCAGAGTCCACTCATTTGTCCGTTTTGGAAATAGCTTTGCTGAGTTGTTTACTGAACCTAGGTCTGTTATGTAGAAACAGAGTTAAAAACATAACACGTCTGAGACTGCTCTCCTTAGAAATGCCTGCTTATAAGATTGGCTCTTGGCTGGCATGTGGGAACTTGGATTTCAGGAGGATTCTCGTCACTCCTGGAACAGATATAAGTGGCTCACAGTGACTAACATATTTGTAAAAACAATACGGCTTCTGCTGAACACCTGCTTTCCTTCTGGGAGACTGGGATTTTAGTATGTGACTGGTTAAGTCTCTAAATGAGCTTCCCTGGTGGACATCACTTCCCATGTGTTGTCATAACTCATCACTGGAGGACTTAAGCACATCCTGTGTGACTCCGCTGGGAAAGGACACTTGGAAGTTTAAGCCTGGATTCTTTAGAACTTTACTACATATGCCTTTTCCCTTTGCGGATTATGACAATGAGTGGAGACCTGTAAGTCCTCCTAGTGAATCATCCAACCTGGCAGTGGTCCTGGGAAGTCCTGACATAGCCTTACATCCAGCTTCCTTCCAACGTGCTGTGGGTCATACCTACCCTCCAGGGCTGATCCCTGGAATCCCCAGAGTCTCATAATTGCCCTTTCAAGTTGTTTCACTGAGCTAACAGCTTCGTAATTTTTTTCTGGAGGGTTTCCCAGAACAAAAATTAACAGGATACTCTTATATACCCTGGGGTGTGCCAACACGCCAGCCTTCTATCTCAAAGAGCTCCCTCTGTAAATTACAAATCTGTCAGTTCTGAATTATGTTGAATTATACCTTTTTAAAAATCAAGTAACCATGAACGTGACCATTTTACATACACTTCAGAGAATATTTAGAAGTTTGGCAGAGGAGGAAAGGGACAATCAACCTTCTGAGAAAGCCTGGTATCAAGAGGAATGCTAAGACCTCAGAAAACATACGCACTGAATGGAATAGTCAGAGGAATACGCTATGTGCTTACGCATCTGTCCTCTGCTTCTTTTCGTCACCTATGGCCAGATTTCGGCAATTCTTGACAAAAATGTAGAGCCCTCCAGTTTTGTAGCAGTAGCTGATGTGGAGAAGGATTTCCCCGCTGACCTTCACGTTGCCATAGTCTCCTGTTTCACTGTAAACACTCATCGTGCTGTTAAGGCTGGTCTGAAATAAACAAGATGAAAAGAGGCAGCCACTGTTAAGCTAATGATCTCTTCACAGAAGGTACCCCCTTCATTCAGTTAGGAGCCCTGCAGTATAATGAGCAGGGAAATTTAGGGTGAAGGAAGAAATCAAAAATCACTTGTTTTGCTTGTTTTTTCTGGTCTTGTATAAAATCTGAGCCTGAGAAAGGACAAGATCTAGGACCATTAGTAAGGAAGGCAGGACATTTGCTGAGAAGGGAAGCATTGTCATTTTGGGTTGGTGAATACCCTTTGTTTATTCACTTCTTCTAAGGAATCCTGGGTCATTGAGGCATTTCCAATCCTATCTCCTCTCCCCATCCCTGTAGATTTCTCCTTTTTCACTGGTAGACTCATGGTCAATCTGCTTCAAGGTCTAGAAGGCATTGATCAGGACAAAGAAAAACTCATCTCATATTCCTGCACTTGTGGCATAAGCCACAAGCTTCTCTTGGACATCTACACAGAGTAGCCCATCAGTCTCTGGGAAGCCACAGCTACATCTTTAACAAGGGCACGCCAGGAGAAGGGCATACACCCACAGCCGCGCTGGTCCCTGAGCAGCTATGTAGCCACATGGGTCACATAAGAGCATGGCTTTGTACACCTCTGTAAAATAGCAACCCACAAAACAGAATACAGAACAATAAAATAACACACCAACTGATAAATAAAATAAAAATATATTTTAAAAAACCTGTCCAAATGTACCAGAATGAATGAAGTTTCTGATGAGACACTAATAACAAGAGACATATTTTAAATTAAATGTAATAAAACTATCCTTCAGTGCCAGCAGCACAAATTCTGTGTCTTAGCCACACGACTGTCACAAAAGACCACCTGGAAGGCTTTTCATGAGTGACCCAGGAGTTGCAAAAGTGCTGTTTGTGAACCACTGGGAAGTAGGAACTATGGTGAGTGCAAAGAGAAGTTAGACTTCCTATTTTTTCATTTATATATATATATATATATATATATATATGCATATATGCAAAAGTCATTACCTTCCTCCAATTGCTCAGAGTAGAGACTGATCAAAAACAGGTGGGTGATGTGGCTAGTATCTCTTCTAAGCTTAAGTTAAGAGCAAGAGCAAAACAAGGATTCTGTAATTATTTGGAAATTATAACTTAAAATGAGCCACTGAGTGACCTACTTTGTTTTTTTTCCTATTCCTAAAAACCAAACATCAGAATTTTCATGATAGCAGGTGTCTTTGAGCAGTGCTTTTCCAACTTCAGTTGCATATAGATCATCTGGGGATCTCGTTAAAATGACGATCCTGATCCACTCAGTCCCATGTGGGGTCTGAGATTCTGCTTTTCTAGCACACTCCTAGGCCCAGTTCCCAAACTGCGTGTTGAGGCATCCCAGAGCAAACACACAGCGGGCACCACAGGGTATTTTAAAATTTCAAGGGAAACACAGCGACAACTATCGGACACCATGCAAACGATGAATGGCAGTTCACAATGTCAACGTTAAATCAATCACACTTCATTGTTTTCAGTGAAGTCCTATCTGTGTGAAGCTGAGTTTTGGCAGTTGCTATGACAAAAAGCAAGAACTGCACAAAAATCAACATGGAATGAGAAATGAAAGTGGTGCTGTCCAATCAGATTCCAAGATCTGACAAGTCATGTAGTACCCAACAGGCACACAGAGCCCATCAGGGGCTAAGAATGGAATAAAAATATTACTTTTCTATCTACTGCTGTGTGTATTGATTTTTCTTCAAATGGCTAACAAGTTGTAAGGATACTATTGCTTATCAAGTTTTTTTTTTCCTGACCTAACTATTTAATAAATGGACTAGTCAGGTATGACCTTTGGCTTAGGGAGTGCTATGAAAGAATCACTGAGACACCAGGGGCTCTGTGAACTGACAATGTTTTATGGTCTCTGTCCCAGGTGATGCAATATTGCTGGTCCATGAACCAGGCTTTGAGTTTCAAGAGCTTCAAGGATAAGCCCCAAACTCCTCATGTTACAAATGAGAAAAATCTGGCTCATGGAATTTGTTGACACTGCCAAGATATTGTGAAGTAAAATTTGTATTTTATGGCAAGATAAGAAAAATCTAAACGTACAATTTTCTTCTTCCCTTTGGCCTCCCCTCTGCCGTCTACCGTGCCTTGTGTATCTGCGTTATGCATCGACCAAATCTCTCCCATGAGCAGAAAATACTGGCTCAAGCATAAACAGCAACATCTTCCTGGCACCAGTAAGACAGCTCCTTAAAAGACTTCTAACTGGCAGGATAGTTCTCAGAGTTTTCTGAGATGCTTTTTCTGGGTTGCAATCCTCACTTCGGCTTGAATAAAATTTCCCATTTCTTTCTTAGATTGACTGATCAATTTTTTTGTTGACAGCATAAAGCAAGATTTCCAGATTTTTAGTCTGAGGACTTCCCTACCATACCTCACTGCTTCCTTGCATCACTGACTTGTATCTACACCACATCCCTCTGTGTCAAAGAGGGTCCTGTGTAAGCAGAGGACCCACACATATAGAAGAAAATTTAAGAACCCACAAGTGCTGAAGCTTGGAGAAACTGAGTAAGTTATGAGAATTTTCCTACTAACCAAACTTTATGCTCTTAATCAAGCCAATGTTGTGATTTAAACAGAGATGTTTATTCTCAAGGTGCCTTGCTCATGGTAAATCATTTTGGACCATGTGTCTTTTCGCTGGTCCTCAGATTCTAGTGTTTACCAAATGTTCTTTCTTTGGCATACTTGGATTCTGATACTGTTATGTACCTTTTAACAGAGAACCTCTGGTTAATTGTACACACATTGGAAAAAGATAAATGCTGGAGAAACTGCCCACCAAATTAGATTTCCAGTACCACGCATTTTGTGAAGTATGGCTGGAAAACAAGAAAAGGAAAGGCTGAACACTCACAGTGTCGGAGTCAGCGTCAGGCAGAGTTAGGTAGGTCCACTTCCTGTCAGAGCCTGTTCGAGAATTCTTTAAGGAAGTCGCCCAAAGGTCAAAAGAAAAAAGGGCATTAGAGCAACAGACAGAAATCAGAGAAGCCAAGAAAAGACTTGGAGGCATCCAGATGGGGACAAGGACACAGGGTCTCCTAAAGCCCTCTCAAAGAAGGGCTCAAAAACCAAAGTCAGAAGGGGCTTTATTCCAGAGTAGGACAAGCTATGGACTCGATGTGTGAGGAGAGAAAGCTACTTGGGTCTGTGTTTTAGGAAAGTGACCGGCAAGTATGAAGGATGGTTGGGGACTTGAGAGAATGGTGGCAGGGAAATTTATCAGCAGAGATGTGAGCTAATTCATAGGCTTGAGCTGATAAGAGCCTGTGTTAGGGAAAGAAGAGGTTTTAAAACCTGGGTGAAGAGAGGTTTGAAAGTAGGAGAGGGAAGCAATCAGGAGCTTTAGGAAAAGCCCACACAAAATTGAACTGAAAAGTACTCTGAGGGCAAAAGGCACGCAGGAAACTATAATGACTTTTTCCTCACTATCACCCATTATCCAAGAACATCATTATCTCCTCTGGAAATGTACAGAAAATCAACAAGACAAAGAAGAATCTTCCAGTACGTGTTAGAGAATTGCTTACGGTTGACAGGCCACTTGCTAGACTGTGGGTGTTTGCAGAAAACTGGGAGGACACTAAGTCATCAATGCCTTCTTCGTTCCCTCCCAAGGAGTCCTAAGGAAGGAGGGGGGAAAAAAAATCAGTGATTTGGTTTCTTTCTTTCCTCGAAAGCTTTTTCACTTAAAAACCACTTTCTTTTAAAAATATCCGAAAAATCAGATACAAATGTCTAGAAATCACCCCATTGCTACATTTTCCTCTTTTGTCCTCCACTCGACCTGCATGATACCATCAGAGGATTGCTGTCACCTTCCTAGAGGTGCCTGCTTTCTGGAAAGAACATGAAATTTGCAATCACACAGACCTGGGTGTTCCAATTCCTACCTCCCCGTTCTCTAAAGTGATTCACTTCGAGCAGTGTACTTAAGTCATTTTGTAATTTAAAAAATTGGGATGCATTTGTGTTCGTGTGTGTGTACGCGCATGTACCCCTGTGTGTGTGTATACTGTCAAGATGGGGAGATGTATCTTGAAAATATCTCCAGTAGAAAAAAATATTATAGATACTAGATTCTTGTCCAAAATACCAGACTCTACTTTTCTTCCCCTCATTTTTTTCCCTGTTATTTAAGCAATACATTTTTTTTAGTAAAACCTTTCAAGCAATATAGATAAATATAAATTAAAGATATGTATCTCTATTAACATATTAATGATCAAATTTCAATAACTTTTTGATGATATGAATAGGATATATACACACACACACACACACACACGCACATGCATACTGGTTTCTTTTTATTATGGACACCTTTCATTCTTATTTCTGTTCTCTTCCCTGGCCTTCCTCTCACCCCGGATGAAACTAGTATTTTGCATCTTGTTGGAAGTATATTCCTTTTTTTAAAAAAAATAGTTTTCAGTATCTATTGACATAGTTTTGTATTTTCTCCTTTAATATACTGAAATATTAATTATGTAATAGATATTCTTATATAGACTAATTCTTCCATTCATTACCTAGAATAAAACTTACTTATCCTTACGGTAATATTTTTGATTCATTGCTATGTTTTATTTAGTATCATATTTCAAGTTTTGTATATATAGTCATAAATTAATTTAACTTGTAGTTTTCTTTTTTAAACTATTTTTAAAATCAAGTTTGAGTATTAAGGTTATATATAATGGCTTCATACTATGAATTTGAAGATTGTCAGAGTTTTTGAAGATCAGTAATAGTTTAATAGCATTGGAATTAGCTGGTTTTAAAGGCTGAACACCAGGTAAGCTTTGAAACCATTTATTCTCATTGCCCGCCCCCCCTTTTGTGGTGGATTTAAAACTTTTCAGTTTTTTTTAATACTATAGAAGATAACACTGAGTTTTAGAACTAAGTTTCCTAGTTTATGTTGGAAAAATTATATTAATTCCATTTAACATTTGTGCTCTTTTTTCTAAGGAGTTCAAATTGCATTATAGCAACTATAGAAATATCAAAATATTAGAACTGGAAGGAACCTTAACAATAATTTAATTCAACCTTCTCATTTTATAAATGAGTTCACTTAAACATTAATTTTCACAGAAGTTAGTCTCAAATAAGAAGGCAGTTTATTGGAGGTAACTTGAGATGTAGAAATGTTCATATGAAACACATAGATAAGTCTACTAATAATTGATTTAGGAAATGGTGGGACTCCCTTGTTTTTCCAGGTTTAGCTTAAGTGATGTGCTTTTAACCCGGAATTGAAATCCCCAAGAGGTATTTTCCTAGAGATCATCTTCACTCATTAACCTGATTACCTGTTACCTTTTCTAAGTCATTCTTTAGTTGTTTTTATATGTTTTTTGTGAAAACTAACTGGAAGAAACTATTGTATATTCTCGCTCGACTCTCAACTCATCCTCACCTCAAAGTGGGAAGGTTTGGAGTAGGACTGTGCCCTTCCTTGATAGTCATTAGACTTTCTTCCACATCCAACTTACCAAGTCTTTGTCCAAAGCCCCAGGGACAGACTTGCTTTTGATGCCTACAGTATCTTCGAAGTCTTCTATAAATGACCCACTCAAATCTAACTCAGATCGACTCTGGTCTGGAGGAAGGAAGAGAAAAGAAAAGAAGTGAATCACCTTGTTTTGTTAGAAGGTTTCATTTTTCATTGCAAATGTATCATCATTATTCCAACTCTTTCTAGGCCTAGGGCCTAGAGAGTGTCATGAAAGCCAAAGTCAGAGTCAGTAATTTCATGCAGCTTATGCTAACATACTTCTGTTTTTTCAATAGCATTTTGAAATATGCTTGGACTGAATTACCAACACTGAAATGTTCATATCTCCTTTGAACACAGGAGGTCAAATGCTCTACCATAAAATGCTAATATTTTAAGCTGTTTAAGGCTCCTGCTCTGCTTATAGACTTTGGAAAACTCTCATAGAACGGGCCCTTAAGTTTAGAAAAAATTAAAATTTAACCATTCTCTATTTAAATATTTAGAGAATTTGCTGTATTTTCGTATATGACATAAAATGCAATGAAATGACGTCAGTTCCTTTCACACAAAAAGGGAGTGGCTAGAGGGAAACTGAGAGGAAATTCTATTTCGCTAGGCACCAGCACATTCTTTCATCAGCAGAATATCTTGCTTTTAAAAATACAAAGAACAATGCACAACTCAGTGGTGCTGTGGACAGCTGACCAAGACACAGTTTATTACCATAAAAGAGTTCTATGCCAAAGCCCTGCTGAGATGGTATAGTTGCTTTATAAATAAGAAAGACTGAAGAGAACAATCAGCTAAGTTTGAAATGAGAAATGAAATAAGGCAGAAGGTGCTTAGCATAGTGCCTGACACAGAGTATGTACTCAACAAACAGGAGTTTTTGAGTTGAGGTAGTAGAAATATATACTCTATGAGGTTGGCTTCTAGGCTAGTTTAAGATTTTTCATTTAATGGGAAAACTGATTTTCAAGTCCTGACCCAAAATGCAGTAACAACCACACACATTTAGACAATCCTTTGGAAGCTACCTGGCCAGGAGAGACTCCCCAACTCAGTACAGAGCATCCAGCCTTAGGCTTTAGGCTTTTCATCATTAGGGAACAGGCAACTTTTTCCTGTGGAGGATTTTGTCATGATTTCAAATCTACACATGGGACATAAACTTCCTAAGTATGACATACTTCTCTAAAGAGTTTCCTTTTCCATAGATCATAAAATTGCCATATAAATAATACCTGGGTTGCTATGATGATGAAATGACATATTTTTGAAAGTATGCAAATGAAAGGGGTTATTAATAATACCTTCATGCTGCTTGCAAAGAATTCCTTATTTGAACCATGGAATAATGGTTAATCTGTCTAGATAGAGGACATTTCTGACCCCCATATCCATGGAACCACCATTTCCTTGAACTCTGGGTAAGTACCCTTATCTTTTCTATCAAATGAGCCAATTATATTTCCTGCACTCCTATGCTGACATCTGGTATAGCCCTGATTCTTGGCAGTGATGACTCTATACTCTTGCCAAATCCAAGACTCAAGGATTTTGCATAGAACGCGAGAGGCTCAAGGCACCACCTGGGTCCAGTTGTAAGCAGTTCTTACAGAGTGGGCCTACCACCATGGGTTAGAGAATGGATGATTATCTTCTAAGACATGAAACATCCATGTAATGCCACCCAAGGCAGTCACTTCCACCCGATTTAGTCACATTTACAACAGAGTGGACATGTTGCAAATATCCACCTGAGGAGAGGGAGGCCCTGGACACAGCTATGGAAGGTGTGCCCGAAGTTTTTCGGCGATGACTCTTGGTGAGGTCCTCAGAGGTGATTTCAGTGGCAGCCAACTCCATGGAAGTTTCAAAACCATGTTCCTTCTCACAAAGTAAAAATGAAAAAAATTATATTGACTGTAACTTACTTTAAAATCCTTCCATATAAATATATGTCATTATAATCACATTTATGCACCTCACTCTTTACAAGGAGCTAGTTGACATCTAGAGGACCCTCATGAGGAGTCCAAATAACTCAGACTTACCATCAATAATTACTCTCTAAAATACACACAAAGAAATTAATCAGCACAAAAGGTGTCTGAAATAACTATTCATTCACAAAATTAGTGACTTTCCCAACATATGGTTAGCAGAAAAGACAGTGCAGGTAACTCCAATCTTACATGAACTATGAATAAGAATCCAGCAAGCTTCAGATCCTCAGACTAGTATTCAGGGTTACAACTCTATTTGGCCCCATGTTTGTCCCCACTCTCAACACCCTCTCTCCCCAATTACTCCTTACTTCCTCCACCCCACCTTTTGTCTAGCTAGATGATCAGAACATGGTAGCTTACATCATTCATTATTGGAATGAAACTTGCATGCAACGCACTTATCAAAGTTCATAAAAGGATAAAGAATGGGGATTTCCCCAGCTTATAGGAATAGGTGATTTGGGAGGGGGGTAGCTACTTGCTAATACCTGCTTGCACATGTGGCAAAATTCAGTCTGACACTTACTTTCATTATAAAGGAAAATTGTCCCACAAGGGCTTGACAACTGCATCATTCCAGGTTTGCCTGAGCATTAAAAAACTAATTTTGGACCTCTGAGAGCTGGGCTGAGGTTAAGTGTTCATGCAAATGACACCATGGTGTGATAATGATCAAACCTAAAAAAGACTCTTCAATTCCCCCTTCCATGAACAATCAAAAAGTGCCTTTCAAAGTCCTACAGGAAGGAATTCCCTTCTTGCTGCCCTAGATTTAGCCCATACCTTACATTCCAGAGAGATGGAACTCTCACTTGCTTAGCATGGAAATCAATGCAGCTTCAATATAGGCTGTTCTTAGTCTTTGATTATTCTCCAACACATACTACCTGTAGCAGGAGGCATATGGCTCCTAACTTTTCTAAATTCCATAGACTACTAAGGTTTATCAAAAGACTGTGACAGAAATCAAATGAATAGGTCCTTTTTCAACACCTCCTTAAAAAGACGGTCACACATGGATTCCCCCAATGAAGCAAGACCAACTTCCTTAGCAGCAATTACAATGACAGCAGATTTTCCAGCTGGCACCCTGGGAGAATCATTAATATTGAGCACTAATGGGCCAATTAATATTGAACAGTCATTAACAGGCAATATATACTCTGGAGATTCAGGATGTGAAGCCTGAAATTAACAAGTTATATCATAGCAGAAGACAGAGCCTTTCGTGTTCCAAGAGTTTTCCATTTAAAAAACGTACTTCTCACATGCTAAAGCAGACAAGACCACTGAAACAAAGAGATGCTGAGAAATGGGAGAAAATGAGAAGCTGTTACCTTGATCACCATCTAACTCAATACAGGTCTTCGTGTCATCATGAGAGAGCAAATGTGTTTCATAAAAGACTGTGCTGTCTTAAGTTTATTCAACAGAAAGTATTTCTCTTTGTCTCTCTTTTTCTCTAAGACTAGCTAGATCAGCTTGAATGCAAGAGCGAGATCAACAGAGGCACTGACTATATATGTATGTATGTATGTATGTATGTATGCGTGCATGCTCAACACTATTGCAGGGAATTTCTGTTGGGGAAAAATCTAGGTGTTTAATAGAGAAATATTCATGTAGAGGCTGTTAGCTGTGAGGGGATTAGCACTTGACAAGGGTGATTTTTTTCTCCCTAATGATGGTACTTAGGAAGATAAGCCTTGTTTTGAGAACCAAGTTGACCGGTTATTAGACTGATTGTCTGCTGCTACCCACTGGTACAGCTGTATCAGCTGTTAAAATTTTTAAACATTTCTGTATCAATTGGTAAACAGCACCGCTCCCAGTCGTTCCCCCTTCTCTGTGCTCCCCCTCCTCCACACCCCTGGTTAATGCATGATGGGTGGAAGGGCCCCCAGGACACTGCCCAACCTTGTGCCAGTGTCTTTTTTTTTCTTAATTGAAGTATACTCAGTTACAATATGTCAATTTCTGGTGTATAACAATGTTTCAGTCATACACACACATACATATATATATTCCTTTTCATATTCTTCTTCACTACAGGTTACTACAAGATATTGAGTATAGTTCCCTGCACAGGAAAAATTTGTTTTTTATCTATTTTATACATAGTAGTTAATATTTGCAAATCTCAAACTTCCAATTTATCCTTTCCCACTCCCCTTTCCCCTTGGCAACCATAAGATTGTTTACTATGTCTGTGAGTCTGTTTCTGTTTTGTAGATGAGTTCATTAGCCCACTGTCTGTTCTGATCGCTCAGTGCCCCTGCCATACTGCTTGCTAAATATCACGAATATCATTCCTTCTTAGGTTGCCAAGGAAGTGAGTGCAATCATCAACTACATATGCATTTTTCTGGCTACTGAACAGTACTGCTTACTGAGCTTCATAGAAATATTTATGTAATTTTAAATATGCCTTTTATCTTATCAGCAAGAACAATTTAGACTTATGTTTAAATAAATCTATTATTATTATTATTATTCAACCGGCCTGAAAAATATCTTTTGGTGCTTCCTTAAAAATATCTCTAGAACCTGGTTGCTCACAACCTCCGCTTCTATCTCCCTGTTCTAAAGCCCCATCTTGTTAGCAGTAATGTGATGGCCTCCCTCCTAACTGGCCTTCTGGATTCCACTCTTGTTCCCCTACAGCTGTTTCTCAGCCCAGCTCTCAGTTCCTGCATAAACAGAAGCCAGATCATGTCACTAGTCTGCTCAAAACCCTCCAACTGCCCCCATCTCATCCAGTGTAAATAAATTCCTAAGATCTATAGGTCCCTATCTGGCCCTATTACCCCTTTGAACTCAGTTCCTAGTACTCCTCCCTTTCACTCACAGCAGCCACACTGGCCTCCTTGTTCTTCCTTGAACACACGAGGTATGCTCCCACCTCAGGCCTTTACAGTGGCTGCTCCTCCAGGGGCATTAAAGATCTTTTAGTCACTGACTATACAAGACGGAGGCCAGCCTTAAGTAACTGGAACAGCCTTCCTGCAGTGCACTTGCCGAATATCAGCGCTGTCCCTACATAGAAGGAAACCTTGCCCCAGACTCCCCCATGGCTAATTCTTTCACTTCCTTAAAGTCTTTGCTTGACCAGGGCTTTGCATAGGGTAGGTCCTCATTAAATATTTGCTAATTCAAAGAACTGTAGTTTGTATACAAAGATTTTTTAAACATAGATGTCAGCTGTACATATGGAGTTTCCTGCTTAATCAAAAAATCTAATTGATGTTTATTCATTCAAAAGAACAGCTTATACACACACATATATGTATTATGCAATTTAAGTCTCCATTATGTGTTGACCCTCTTGTTTTAACAGCTGTATAGAAAAGAAAACTATAAAAACATTTCAAGAATCTACTTTTCCTACTTTAAATTGGTTTGGAAAAATTTCAGAGCAGTTCAATCTTGAGAGGTAACATGGAAGATAAAAATCAGTGAATTCTAAACATGATCTATATTTTATTCAAACCACAAAGCCATTTAAACCCCCATCGAACAAATTCCACCTTTGAACCTGCTCGTTCCCTTTCCTTCTCACTTTAGGCTTCCTGCCAGGAGCTAAGGATGAAGGGGGTTCAGTCCTGATAAAGAAGCATCTACCATTAAACAAGATAAACAACGTGCTCTGAGATACAGAGAGCTGATGCCCAGCCATGCCATGGCGGTGAGGCTGAGTCTCAGAGCGAGGGTGGTGTTCCTTCACATTCGTGTACTTACTCTACTGCTGAGTGAGGTCACGCTGCGTGTGCTTGGGGCCGGTGACCTCTGAGTGACTGGTGTCACACCATTGCTCCGGATGTTCTTTGGAGTCCCAGGACCAGCTTCCTGGTCATTGAGATCTGACGAACCGGTGCTCCCTCTAAACGAGAAAGAATATTCTGACTTTAACGCAGAAGCACAACAGTAACCAAAGACACAGTCAAGATAAAGCTTACCAGATGACAATGGTGACATTTATGACCACAGCAATTATCATGTTACCTTCATTCTCCAAGACCTTCAGGGGCTCCCTGGGTTCAACCCCATTTGTCTGACTCCAGGGTCTTTGTAATTGAACTTCACCCTCCCTCCCCAACTTTTTTCTCCACTGTTCACCAGCACTCTCCCAACCAGCCCAGGTTCCTCACAATTTTTTCAACTCGCCACGCTCATGCTCCTACTTCTAATGCTTCTGCTCACGTTCTCCCCACCTGATATGCCCTATTTGCCACTCTCTGTTTACCCAAATTTTCCCCATCCTTCAAGGGCCAGATGAAGTCCAGCTTCTCTCATCACAACTTTCCTGTCTATCACAGGCCTGGTCGACCTCTGCTCTACTCAGTACCTATTCACTTAAAGTCTTTGCCAAACTGTGCAGCAGTTGACCACACAATGTCTTGCTGGGCTCCTTACCAGACAGATCCTCTTATGTGGGCCTCGGTACCTCTTTCAACTGTGAGTTCCTTGGGGACAGAGTTCATGACATATTTACCGTGATATCTCCAGCACCTTTATGATATCTTGGTGCAAAGGAGGCACTCAGTACATATTTAATCAGAGATGGGAAATTATATTTTATTTCTCTGTGTTGTTTCAGAGACTGATTCATGGTGCACATTTAATAAATATAGGATAAAAATAATGACATTTTGTAAATGGGTTTGATTTACTTTCATGTCTGCTAAAATGGATTCAATTCCATTCAACAGTGATCAATGAAAAGATAGTTCCTGCCTTGAGGTGATCACAATTTTCTTATTAAGTAGAGCTTCATAAGTAAGTAAGTTTTGGCAAATGAGAGTTTAAGAGAAGTGTTTGTTCTTATTTGATTCTTTGCTCTCAGTGAGCACAAAATATGCTAAATGGTAAAACATAAGCCTTCATGAATTTTACTCTTTAAGTTATTATTTTAATAAATTTTAAGTGCACCTATAATAATAAACATCTTATTGTTAAAGCACAGTTGTGATCATTAATAGGAATTAGAGCTCACAGCTGAGCCAATCAGAGGAGAGACATAGGAATAAAGGAAGGGCATTAAAAAAAAATGTCTGATGGTGCAGGGGTCACTGCTAGAAGATAAATCTGGCAGAAGAATCAGCAAGGACCACTAGAGTTGTCAAACACAGCTCATAAGTTTTTTCAAGGCTCCAGAGAAGCCACCAAAATCAAACCTGTCCTGATGGATATGAACAGCCGCTACCACCCTCGATATATTATGCAAATGGCAGCTGCATTTACTGAGTATTTTCTAGGTGTCACTTTCTATTCCACAACATCCTTGTTTAAAAAAAAGGTATTAACATTCTTATTTTGAAGATGAAGAAACTGATGTCTTGGAAAGGTTGAACAATTATTCCATACGTACGTGCATGCGCACGCATGTACACGACACAGTTAGTATGTGATAAAGTCAGAATAAAAACAGAATTGCCTGCCTACCCAAAGCCTGTGCTCATTTTAGTTCTTCTAACTGCTTATTCATCATTTCACCAAGATCAAATTGTCACAACCAGGCAGGTTCTACCTGGACAGAACATAGAAGAAGAATGTTCTCAAGAAGAAAAGAATCAAAGGATCAAAGAGCTGGGAGTTAGTTTCTTGGAATCTGATTAAGAGAACTATGAAAGTTTTCTGGGGAGCATTCCTTTGATACAATACAGAAACAGTCCCTGGCTGCTTCTTTCTAGAAGTGGCACTCTGAATAAATTATAGTACTATGGACTGCTCAAAAGGGGTCTCTGTGTCTTTTGATTCTGACAAGAAAATAAAATTTTGTGATTAAATAGATGGATATAATTTGAGGTTCTAAGTTCCTTGATTTTCCTGAGCCTTCCTATCTCAGATGTTCCATTTCTACATTTGACAACAGTTATCTACATTCATACCTTTCCAAGTAATGGTGCTCATCTTGGAAGTCCAACTGAGAAGGGGCTCAGAGACCCACCCAGTGATGCTGCCCTGTGCCTGCAGGTTCCCTACTCTCATAACACGACCAGAAAAATCTCTCTCCTTACTGTTTTAGGTAAAACCTCCCTGAAAAAAGAAAGGCTAGGACTGCATCTTGCAGAAATGAGCCAAAAAGTTATGATCCAAGGGGATTTATGTGGGTGTCACTGCTTGTGTCTGTGCTGAAGGTCCTCCCAGACCCGGTGCTTTTGGAAAAGTCCCTATCATGGATTAGCCTTGCTAAAACCTGAAGTCCTACTTATGTAAGAGCTCTGGCAGAAGCTGATTAATTGTGGTAATGACATTCAAGAGGCAATCCTGTAATAAGGAAAAGTTTTGTGATCATAAGTCAGTGACTGGAAACTATTGTTGCCAGAGGCATTATCTCAAAAATGGCATATACTTTCCCATTTGTTCCTGACATTTACTGTGAGCTTCTTAAAAATATTTTCCTCTCAGTCAAATGTTTTGGTTGATTAGACTAAAAAAGATTTAGTCTAATGAAGCAGAATACCATAAATATTTGGGTGCCAACTCTTTAAATGTTATGTAAAATATGACATAAAATGCATGAATCTTTGCCACTTAAATAGGAAGAGGATAAAAGCTTCCTCAAGTGTAAATGAGAGAAGTTTAAAGTTCAATTAAGAACGAGCTATTTTTGATCCCGATATCACGCTATTGATATTTAAATTAGAAGTATTCAAAATCAGTGCCAACAAATCTTAAAGCTAAATTTTGCTTAGGGGGAAACTGACAAGAAAGAGACATATGTACCTCGTTCTAACAGGGCCCAAAGTGTGGGGAATATGACACTGTCTGGGGAGCTTGGAAATTCTGAGTTACTTGAAAGACACATTTCCTAGGGTAGGAAAATGTTTCATTTACTTCCCCTTATGAGACTTATTTTTTAAAAGTCTTCCATTTTGTTATCCCTAATTTCATGCTGGTCCCAAATCTTGATAATGGCTTCCTAGATAGATCCATGTTTGGATAAAGGAGCCAAGGCTAGGGGACAGAGACTCTAAATTAACAAGTTGCCTTCCTGGTTTACAGAGCACTCTCCCAGGAGTTGTAGCCCGGAAAGAATTTCCCAGGGTCCAACCTTCCCAGAGCGGGCTGACAAGGTTGGTCCTGTGCCCGTCTGGGTAAATGAATGCTCCCCAGAAGATCAGCCAAAGCAGCATTAATCTGAGAGACACTACACTCACTGGGACAGTGAGGCTAGTGCTTAACATGACACAGAGACAGAGTGATCTCCTTTCTGCAGTTTCTGAGCTTTTCTCCCTCTGTTAGTGATTTCAGATCTGAAATAAACATGTAAGAGACAGGCAAGGGAGGATGTAGATAGAAAGTGACTGAGCCTGTTAAATAGGGAAGAGATGTTAAAAACAAGAAAGAAAAGGAGAAAAACCTTTTGGCTCAACCTTCCAGTTTTTGGTGATCCCCAAATGCTATGTCTTTGTCAACACAGTTTTACACAAGATCGGTGGCCTTCACCCTTGCTTGCACATCAGAAACTCCGAGGGGCAACTTTTAAATATCCCCATGCCCAGTCCACACCCAGGACTAATCACATCAGACTCTCTGAGCATGGGCTCTAGGCATCAACATGTTTTACCATCACCATCCTCCCCTACCAGTGATTCCAATATGCAGCCAAGGCTGAGAAACGCTGGACTAAACTGTGGATTTGTTTAAATTCATTGATGTCCGGCATCCCTCCAACCAACTGCCTTGTCCCCTCCTCTCATACCACAAGAGAGCTGAGTTGTTCTCACAGCTCAGACTGTGATGGACGGAAGGACACCTTCTGTGTTAGTGAGTCAAAGTGTAGCACCAGGGGTCAGGAAACTATGGCCCCTGAATAGAATTGGGCCACCACCCATTTCTCTACAGCCTGTGATTTAAGAGTAGTTCTGACATTTTTGAGTCATTGAAGAAAAAGCAAAAGAAGACTATTTTGTGACATGTGAAAATTACATGAAATTCCAATTTGAGTGCCCATAAAGTATAATGGTTATGTAGACATGCCCATTCACTTATGTATTGTATATAGTTGCTTCCATGCTCCAACAGCAGGGTGAGTAGAGACAGAGACCATATGACCCACAAGGCCAAAAACAGTAATTATCTGTACCGTTATAGAAAAGTTGCTTGACGCCTATGTATGTGCCCAAGGTCACAGGCACAGGAACACACAGATGTGCATGCCTCCATTTAAAAATCAAACTGTTTAGAGAGGTCAGCACATCCCAAAGGAATGAATTCCTGCTATTGGGTGCATGTGTATAGAGTGAGTGAGTGAGAGAGAGAGTGTGTGTGTGTTATACTCAGGCACAAATGAACCCTCCTAGGCTCTTGGACGCTGAGTTAGGGAAGCAGAGAAATCAGGAAGAATGGAAATTAGGCAGTTTCTCTAGCTGCAGTTTCTTCTGAAGCCACTGGCTTTCTGGCTTTCTGTGCCTTAATTACACATATTTTCCTTCCTTTTCCTTTTCGGAGCAAGGACAAATATAAGACAATGTCTTAGGCACTCAGTGAAATTTTTGTTCAATGAATCTCAGTGCTAAATATACAAAGAACATTTATAATTCGATTTACTAAGACAAAAGCTGATTTCTTCAATGGTTTTAAAATGTTTAGGGTTTCCTTAAAGAATGTTTCCTTTAAAAAGACTCTCTAAAATAGAGGAGACAGTCACCAAGAGTAGGGGATTCTGCCTGGGTATGAGGAAAAAGAACTTAAAAACAGGTGGACAATATTTCCGTCTTTTATCATAATAAAATCCCCATCCCATGCCTTGCTTCTAAATAATGACTTGAAGTCAGTTGGAGGAAAGGCCAGTAGCCATGAAAAATCTTGGGTGGACAAGAAATCACAAGCAAAAAGAAAGTCAATTGCTCTCCACCACGGACACCAAGAAAAGCA